AGGTTTCTTTTTACTGATAAAACCGGAGGTGGTGGCATTTCATCTTATTTTACACACTCTACAGTGCTGTGTTAGTCGTTAAACACTCTTCTTTATATTTTGCTTCAAGGAGACAGACTTTGTTGTAATTTTTTTAAACCTCCATGGACGTTGGCTGTTTAGCCCCTTCACTTTCAGTCCAGCTGTTTTCAGAGGAATGTCTTTGTGTTTAAAGCCCCCAGCACTGACCTGAGAACCATTCAACTTATTTTTAAGATTTTCTTTTTATCTGTAATGGAAATAATGCGAGTATTAGTATTCCTGTCATTTTGATATTATTTTGTTGCTGGCCGATGATATACAGGTGCAGGACAGTTAAGCATTTCCTTTCTAACGCAGCTCAGTTTAGCACGATGGCTGCCAACAGCAGCTGTACGCTTTTACACTTAGTCTTTATACTGATAACAACATCACTTTTAGCTCTAGAGTTAGGCTAACACTTGGTGCTAAGCCGGGTGATTTCTGGCTCCAGCTCCATGCTTGAATAAGAGACTGATATCATAGAGAAGCTCCAGTTCGAGTCCACTTTGTGTGTTTATGGTTAACATAACAAAATAGGATCTATTCTCTTTTTTTTTTTTTCCCCTCAATAGTTTGATTTCTTAATCTAAACATTTTGCATGTGTGGCTTCCTTTCTGCCTTCTGATTATTCATTTATGTTCATGTCTCTGACAGGGAAGTACATGGCGGGCTGCTCCTTGTGAATCAAACTAAAGGACCGTCAGGTTTCTGAACGGGGATCGCTGAAGGTTCAGAGAACTTTGCACTTTCAGCGCCTGAGTCGAGGAACTCGCTTCCTCCTGTCAGTGTCCTGCTGCTCTCGGACCAATTCTTTTCTCTAATTTATCCCGTGTGCCGTCGTACGTTCAGCTGTCCTCCTCGTCCAGGAAGAAAACTTTTTTCCTATTAAATCTGTGTCCGTGTTGTTCTGTACGCCTTTGTGTCAAAAGACTGCAGACTGAGATGTGCTGTTGATGACTTTTCTTGAATTAGAGAAAAGTGTGAATAAAATAAAACTTTACTGTCCATGAAATCTCTACAGCATCGAGTCAGTTATGAGCAAACATCTTGTACAAAACCTTATAAAAAACTTGTTTGTAAATCTGATGTTTGTGATGAGATTTGATAAAAATAAAAGAAGTGCTGGAACGTTTTGTTTGGTTTACATCGATTTATTACACTGTGACCAGGTACAAAATACAGCTGAACTATGCAGTTTATTACAGACCGTCATCTGTCCTTAAGCTAGTTAAAGTGTAGTCAAGAACAGGTTTAAAAATACACAAAAATAAGGGTTCAGTATACTTGTAAGAACCTAGTTCAATAAAAAATAATCCTCCGTCAAAAAATCTAAAACAGCCTTACAAAACATTACAAAGTACACATAGAAATTATTTTTCCCAAAGCACTTTAAGGCAAATTACTGTGACAGGCACAAGTTACAAAAAGCCTTAAACTCAAATTCAAAGATTCCCATTGCTACAACAAAATCCTCTGTGAGGGAAACGAGGAGGGAAAAAAAAGAACCAATTTCAACACAAAACTCCATTAAATCAGATTAGTCCATATAAATAGATTTTATAGTTTTTTCCTTACGTCAGTTTAATAGCTTACGGAGAGCTTCAGCGCTGCAGTAATAATTAAATTTCATTACATTGAACAGTTGAGATTGGATACAGATTCATCACACACGCCAGTCTAATCCGTTACACATCAAAGCATTTCTTTCTGATACAATGTGACCAACCAGGTAACAGCATGAACAAAGATTAGGCAAAGACCAAAGGCCACGAAGCACACACTGTCTACATCATAGAAAGATAGATATATATATAATTTATGGATTAATTCCCCAAATAACGCACTGGATTTTTCTATTTCAAACAAAACGTAAGACTTGAACTCGGTAACAGCGTGAGGTCAAAGGATTCGGGGAGTGCGCGTCGGCTGGGACGCCCACGAGATCGTTTTTGGTTTCGAGGCGTTTGATTCGTCTTGAAATGAGCGAGTCCAGATTCCAGTTCAGGGGTTAACGTCCCGTCTCCGTAAAGCTGATTACTGTGGATTTGTTCTGACTGCGTGGCAGCTGAGTAAACTGCCACAGAGCCGTCGCGACACTCAAACCGTGAGGAGGAACGAGGAGAACTATTTACATTTTATAAAAGAACCGGGTGAGGGACACGAAACAGTGGCTACTTTTCATTTTTTGTTTTTTAAATAGTTGCCTCATCGCGTGAGCCAAATGAGGCACAGCATAGAAATCTGAGGTAAACGGGTCAACGTGTTACACAGCCAAGCTAACAGCAGGAGCTTCCTGCCTTACCGACTACTGCGACATTACGAGGTCCTGCCTGACACACGGAGCCGGAGCTGAGGCTCGGCCGGTGGGAGCAACTGAGGAGAAAGGTCCTTTGGGTCTACAGGTTGCATGTTCTTGTTATTACCCCCCCGCCTGCCCAGCGTTCGCTACGAGCTGCGGCAAAGGCAACGAGGAGAGCACACCTACACATAATCACTGTTAAAGGTGCTTCGAATGTTTGAGGTTTGGAGACGATACATTCATACTGCGGTAGAGGCACAGCTGAGGGACAGACATCTCAAAGTTAGCAATCTAAGGCACTCAAATGACACTATGGCACAGCTAGTTAGTCTTAAAAACAAAAAGAGGGAGGATGAATCACCAACACCACACATCCAGTAAAAAAGGAAAAGTACTGCACACACTCATTGACAGTTGCAGCAAAAACAAAGATGCTCAGACCTGTTGCAGAGTGGCGTAAAAAGAAACAACCCGTGAGCTTCTCGTATTTATAAATGCTAGTGAGGGGAGAGCTGACATTGCTACACTCTTGTCTATGTACATTGCACACACTGACTGCAGGAGGATGCTCGGCCCAGGGGCCAAGAGCGGCGACCCGAAAGGCCTAAAAAAACAAAAAACAAACAAACAAACAAACGAGTGAGATGCTGGTCGGTGTGGCTCTCAGTCTGACCCGTTCACACCAGACTCACATCTCCTGCAGAGGGTGGCTCATTTCGATCCTCTCTCTCTTCACGGCCGGTTCAGTCGGTCCTCTGGATGCATCGGCGTCGCTGCCCAAATCACTCATCTCATCTGAGAAAGACGCATCTGCAGAGACGCACACGGCGAGTGTGAAAGCAGTGACCAGTAAAACTACAATACAGTGAAATGCATTCCTAACAGCACCCAGAAGGTTGATGCTGTTCATCTGGACTTAAACTGAATTGTATCAAATGAAAAATGAAGATGAACCTTTTTCCATGAGTGAAGGCATCATAGAGGTCAGGTCACTGAACTGTAATTTAGATGAGAAACTGTCAGTCGCTGCATAACTTAAACTATTCCTTCCTCGCTCCTTAAACACTCTCACCTCTCCCATGACAGCAATAGGAGTTTCTCCAGTGGCCTGAGCCACGCGGTGCTCCACCAGGTAAAACATGTACTCGTCGTAAAGAAGGCGAATAAGGTGGAAGGAGCCGAAGCTGGCTGCACTGCGCAGAGTCAGATCTCTGATCACCATGGAGCTACAAGAGAAGGAAAGATGTCACGTCAAGGAGCTACAGGGAGCTTTACAAGCTAAAGAAGGTTTCTAAAAACACCACGCAGTCGGCGGCTTATACTGGAAGTGTGAACGGAGACGAGTCAACCACACCGACCTGTAGAAAGACCATTTGAGCAGGAACTGGCGTGCAGCTTTGGGGAAACTGGGGCTGCCCTGGTGAGGCTTCAGAACCTGAGAGACCACGTTATCCAGCCAGGTGGCCCACTGGTCCAGAGAGCTCTGCTGCTGCAGGGTGACCTTAAAGTCCTGCTCCAGACGCTGAACCACACTTTCGTCGCACTGACACACCCACGACGCCTGCTCCTGTTAGACACAACAAACACGCCACATTCAGCAAGAAAACCCCAAACACGGTGTCGACACATTCACTCCCCGTGTGCAACGCAAATATTTGTCTTTTCGACGTGAGGTTTTCCGCTCACCTGGACGTTGGCAAAGTCCACCCTGTTGAGGTCAGAGAGCATCTGGTTGATCTGGGAGGTGTTCTGGAGGACGGCACGCGCCGCCTGAGCCAAGTGGTTCAAACTGGTGTATCGTCTCAAAGTCTGAGCAAACGCGCTGACCACGGCCACCTGCGCACAGAAAATACACCGTGAGCCCGTCTGACTGGAATGAGACCGAACAGATGAACCGTTTGTTTTCAGGCTGAAAATCTGCACCAAAAATAAAAAGCACGGCTATTTTAAATGTCACAGCGATGCTTCAACATTTATTTATTTATTTCACACATGGTACAGCAATAATTCATTTCCCATACACAACCTTCCTTTCAGTTAAAGTCACTGTTTCCATGCATGAAAAGAAGCAGGAAGAAGAAATTCTTACTGACACCTGCCTGTGATGTCTGTGACAAAACAAGTAGGCAACCAAAATTACACTCTGACAATATTCTGCACATAAAGCAAACAGAACAATATACTCAACAATGAGCAACACCACGAAATCTCAAACTAAAAGGATCATTTTTTCAACAATTAAATTCTGTTATTTTCAACTTCTTCATATTGCTTTATCATTTTATCCTTATAGCAGATTTTAAATGGAGAAACATTTGTTCTTATGCCTGTGACTGTTGGACACATTTGCCTTTGTGTGGTTCGACAAACCGATGCTTAAAATAAAACTTCCTTCTGCCGCACAATACAAATAAACTTTGTAACTTAAGGTTTTATTTTTTGCCTTAAACATAATAATTAATGTCTGTAATTTTAATCATTTTGATTTTATAAACAAGCTATTAGTGTGTTCTCCATATTTAACATTATGCATAACTCGAAGCTTCTGTAATAAATATAATGGTTTCATATTAGTCACGTATGTATTCCCCCATACTTCAACACAATAACTCACATAAGGTAGAAACAATGAAAAATATAATATTCTCATTGTCTTGTAATCTAATATATCTAACATTACCCAGGATATAAATACTTTTAGCCAACTTTTTAACATGTTCAATATGAGGTTTCCATGGTAACTCGTCCACCATTACACCCAGAAAACAGATTTCTGTCACTCTTTCAATTATCACTCCCTCTATAGATAATACCATCGCTTCCTCCTTTACACGGTTTCCGAATACCATTACATCAAATCATTGTTTTATTTTTTATTTCAATAACCATAATTTTAACCAATTCTTTCAAGTTTTCTCCAGAACAACAGAAATTTGTATCGTCTGCGAACAAAACAAAGTGTAACATTTCTGACACATCACAAATGTTGTTTATATAGAAATTAAAAGGTTTTGGTCCTAAAACAGAACCTTGAGGGACCCCACAGTCTCTTTTCATTCCATCAGATGAGTCGCCTAAACACTGCACATACTGAAACCTATTATCTAAATAGCTGCTTAACCAGATCAACACTATTCCTCTCACATCATAAGTTCTTAACTTAGAAATCAAGATGGAGTGTTGCAGAGTCAAAAGCTTTTTTTAACTCAATGAAGACCCCTACAGTATATTTATTATGATGTGTTGCTGATGAAACGTCTTCAATAGTTTCCATTAATACTTCTACTGACTTTCACTTAACAGCTGATGTTTTTCAATGAAACTATCAAATCTTTGTGCAAAGAGTTTTTCCAAGCACTTTAGAAAACTGTGATAGCAACGATACTGGTCTGTAATTATTAAAACTGTCTGTCTCCAGATTTATAAAGAGGGATAACTTTTGCCACTTTCATTCGAATAAAATGAGATTACAAATATAACAGAGAGGTTTGATTATACAATCCAAGGTCTTTTTTACGATGACCACGTCTCGCCCATCACAGTCAGTGGATGTCGTTTTTAGATTCTGCTACAATAGCTATGATTTCCTTTTCAGTGATTTCCTCTAAAAACAGACTGTACCACTCTGCTGTCTGCTCTCCATTCTGAATCATCCTGTTTTCTAATTAAGTTTGCCAGGTTAGGCCCAATATTTACAAAAAAAGAATTAAATTCATTCACCACTTCATTCATATCACGTACGACCTTATTTTTCTTATTAAAGTAAGTAGGTAAATTTAAAGATGTATATTTATTACACAATACGTTTTTTTAAGATATTCCACGTACCCTTAATATTATTTTTGGTTTTGTAAAATAATTTATTATAATACTCTTTCTTAGCCTCTCTCATAATTAATACCAACTTATTTTTATCAACTTTATATTTCAGCAGGCTTTGTTCTAAGTTTTATATAATCTCTATACAGGTTATTTTTCTTTGTACATGCATTTTCTAGTCCTTTTGTTATCCATGGTTTACCAGTAGTTTTCTTTTGCTTATATAATACCAGTGGACAGTGATTTTCATACAAAACCAAATAAGTATTTAAGAATGCCTCGTATGCAGCATTAACGTCATTGACATAAACCTCATTCCAATCTTCTTTCATAAGGTCTTGCCTGAACTCATTTATTGCATCATCATTTCTAATTCTTATATATCTGTCCACACACACGTCCTCCTTTCATGTCATTTTATAATCTAAAGTAACAAAAAACAGGTAAATGATCACTTATAATGTTACTTTCCAAGCAATTCATGAAAATGTGATCAATTGAAGTAGCTGACTTTTCAGTTATTCCACTAGGTTTAGTAATCAGAGGGTAGAACCCTCTTCCAAATAATAACTCAAAAAAAATCTGATGATGCCTTATGATTGGACGTTTTTAAAAAAATCAATATTATTAACACCGCAAATACAGAATGTCTTATTTCCCTTTACCTTGCTCAATAAATCTTCTACTACATCTGTGAATGTTTCCATCAGTGTCCCAGGCCTCCCATACATACAAGTAACAATTAGATTCCTCTTTCTTTCCATTTCTATTTCTACTGTCACACACTCCATTAAATCAGCAATAGCCACAGACATATACTCAACCGTTTACATTTCAAATCACTATCAACAAAAAGTGCCGGACCTCCTGCCTTCTTATTAGATCCATTTAATATCATTCATACCCATCAATGTGAAAGTCCCAACGCCTTTCCTCACCCATCCATGTTTCTGACAGTGCTGTCTCTTTAAACTTGCCTTTCAGATTATTCAAAAAATCATTGATCAGAACAAAACTTTTATAGAGGCTTCAACAGGTGAAATGAATTAATGAAAATGTATTGAATCTTCAGTCATTGTGATTGAGTATTCTTTAAATGTCTGTTATCCTTATGAAATACTCATTAACATCCGTACAAGTATTTCACCACATATTTTGAGAAACCACTCATACCTATACAGTTCTTTCTGATCCATAAATAACTGCGGCTCAGATCGATATCTCGTCTCTGCCCAGTTCCATATCCACCTGCAGCTTCACACTAATACTCTTCCAGTCTACTGTCTCATACTTTGCCATTTTCCCCCTCCGACAGTCGGAAATAGCGTCTTTCATTGAATAAGTTCGGCTAGTTGTTAGCAAACACATCACAGACCTTCTGCCGTCCGACCGCAGCAGTGCAATCATCCCCCGTAGTTGTCCTGATCATGAAGATCCCTGATCATTACAACCTTGGCTTCTTCTGGTGTTCCGTTGAGCTTTATCATCACTTTGTAATTTCTCGTCCATGTTGCTTGGATTTTCTTTTCTTTACGCATGATACGGGCTTGTCTGCCAATATCGGCGTTCTTTTTTGTGAGATGTTCATTCACATATACTCCACTCCCTTTCAGTTGTCCGGACTGCCTCAGTAGCTCAATTTTGTGTTTTCGATTCACAAATTTTACTACGATTGCTCGAGGTGTCCTGGCATTCTTTCTGGGGAGGGTGTAACACGCCGCGATGTTGTTGCTATGCAGGGGAAGTTTTTTTACTCGCAAAACCTCCACTACCTGACGCTCTAATGTTTGAGTCTCAGTAACTCTTGCATAGCTCCTGTGTTTGGTTTCCAAACCGGTAATAATCGCGTCCTCCAGTCGTGCATGCTGTTCCTCCACTCTCCTTCCTAAGAGCTGGATTGTTTTATCCTTTTCCTTAATCAAGCTTTTTAATGCTTTGATTTGGTGCATTAAAGTCGTTAACATTCCTCGTTGCTTAACTATTCTTTCGACGTCTGTTAAGCGACAGCTTAATTTCCTCCAAATCTTCTTCAATTTTTCTCATCTTTGCCATTTTTTCCTTTTTGTTTGTTTGTGTTTTGTTTCAGGCAAAATATATTCGACTTAGAATTAATCACACAGCCTATTCTGAGACGCCAATCTGGCTGTAGCTGCGTTCGCCATCTTGGTCACCTACATCACACGGAGACAGCTGAGGTGGTTTGGACATCTGACGAGGATGCTTAATGGGCAGCTCGGGCAGCTGTTTCCGCCACGTGATACCTCGGGCCTCGGGGTAGACCCAGAAAACACGGGAGAGATTATATGGAAAGCCTCTGTGTTACCCCCAGATAAGGTGGAGGAGAGGGAGGGCTGCTGCCCCCACAACCCAGTGTCCAATAAGTGGATGGATGGATAAACAAGATTCCACAGTTTTCTGATAATTCACTGAAGAAATCTTCAGAAAAGAATTTTTGGGTAAACTTTTAAGGTCATATCACCATGCAGTGATACACAGATGGACATTTAGCAGCAGCGTATAAAGAACAGTGATGTACATCACAGCCAGTAATAACACATAAGCACAATAGTAGACTGTATCCAACCTCTGTAGGTAGTGGGCAGGTGCATTCATAAAAAACAGATCACTGTAGTGTTGAATGAAACACTGATCACACAAGAGTTTGAAAAGTTCACAGCTGAACATTTGTGGAAATATGATTTTAAAAGCCTACTTGGAGAGTTGCTGGGTTTTATAGCTCACATAAATCATGTGCATGCATGCAGACAATCTGAAAAAGACTTCTGCTGATACCTTAGTGCGGATGATCTCTTGTGGAAAGCTGGTCATGGCATTAGTCAGCCAGCCCTCCAGACTCTTGGCAAAGTTACGGATGGCCTGAGTGAGAGTGCCTGAAGAAAGAGAGCAGCCTGGATTATCATTACTGTCCCCACTCTGCAGAAAGCCTTTCAGCGAGAGTGTAAACGCCGTACGCTGAAAACAAAGAAATGCCTCTAATGTGTCAGCATGTACGTCAACACAGCGAGCCCCTGGTCCTAAATTCATCCTGTTGTCACTCATCAGTCTTAACTCTCAATATATTGCTTTA